TCAGCTCCAGCCTCGAGCAACACCCGCACCACTTCCAAGTGGCCATTGAAAGCTGCATCCATCAAGGCGGTTGCCCCATCTTGAAATGCTGCCTTCGGGTCAGCTCCAGCCTCGAGCAACACCCGCACCACTTCCAAGTGGCCATTGAAAGCTGCAGCCATCAAGGCGGTTGCCCCATCTTGCCTTGCTGCGTTCTGGTCAGCTCCAGCCTCGAGCAACAGCCGCACCACCTCCAAATGGCCCCTTTCTGCAGCAAGAAGCACAGGTGGTTCAATGTCTGCACCTGTCCCATTAGGATTCAGTGGTTTCTGAAGCAAGCTTGTAACTTCGACAACTTGATTGTTCTCACACGCAAAGTGTAGTGCGTGCCAATTGGCCTCCTCAGGCGCATGGTAGTCCAAGATTACTAACTGCAAACTTGGTAGTGGTCTGACAGGCATATCATCCTGTAGCTCGCCCATCTCTTTGCTCAAGAGTCTAAGTCGAAATCTTGAATATCCAATCTTTGTGGCAATGAGCGTCTTCAAATCTCTAACATACTTTCCACTCTCTACCATGCAGCCCAATTCTTCCTCATGAAGCTGGGTGAGAATGGCACCTGCAACCGTTATAATCTCCATTGCTCCATTCCTAGAGGAAGTGGCTGATCCAACATGGCTTGAGCCAAACAAGATATATAGACAATATAACATATATTTTATTATATATATATATATTGAGTAAGGTCCAAGTATACATGTATATATATATAACTACTTAATGTGAAGACCATACCTAACAATAGTTGTTTGAGCACTGATCTTGGGAGTTGAAGGGACTAGGAAAGGATCTTCAAGGAGAAAAGAAACAGGCCCAGCAGTGGAAGCAGTGGAAGCCTCGACTGCTGCGCCTTGAGTCGGCTGAAGTTGCCCCTCGACTGCTGGCCTTACCGTAATGACACGAGGTTGGAGGGAGTCTGTCACGACATGCTCAGAATCAGCTGCGCACTGTGGACGTTTTAGGTGATCTTGAATGGTCAATCTGTCCCAGCCACCTTCTGTCTATCTCTCCTGACCTCCCTCTCCCTCCCTCTCTTCCGCGGTGTCCTTTTCCTGGGGTCTACGCTGGATGGCGGTATCATGTTTAAATGTCTTTATAAAACCATGCTTGAAAATCATAAAAAGCATCCTTTCACATCACCTTCCCAGCGGAGGGCTTCATGATTCGAGGACAAACACACCGTTCCACTGACCTGCTGGGGTTCCCACCCCTTTCCCACCCCAGCTGCGACCTTGCGGAGCTTTCTCCGACCCACGGGAGCTTCTCCTGAAAGGCCCCACTCCGGCGGAGCGTGCCGACGCCATGCCGCGCGCACCAGCACCTGAGAGCTGGCGAGAGCTGCTCCTGGGACACCGGCGAGCAGGCGACTCCGGCGAGCAGGGCACAGGGAAACGGCTCGCGAGAGCTCTCCACAGTAAGGCCAGGAGCCCCTATAGTAGCGTCCTTGTTACTAGTAACTAGTAGCGATGCACTTGTCGCCTTCCATGGATCCTTCATGAGCTCTCAAGATCCAGCTCCCGAACCGACCCCTGTTGCTTTGATTCGCCGAACCGAAGGGAAGCCTCTCTCTCCGGAGGTGAACCTCCGCGCCGGTCGCGCCTGGAAGCCCTTCCAATCGACCTCCTCCCGGCGAGACGCCCAGCAAATCGCCTCAGACGCCCAAAACGCGCGCAGTGCGCGCGCGCCGAGATCGGCGGAGTGATCGGCGGACGACGAGTGATTGCCTGTGAAGGAACTGGCAGTTCTCCTGGTGCGGAACCCGATGTGGGATGAGCGAACTGACTTTCACATCACGGACATCCTCCACTGCGGACATCACCCTCACATCCCTCAACCCTTTGGGCAGCTCGGGGCGCAGCATCCACCTCGCGGCACCACTGCCTGCGCCCCGTCGCGCCGAGCCGAGAAAGCGACGGGTTTTCAGGGGGTTTTTTAGGAGAGATCCGCGAACCGACGGAGGTGCCTACACCGACGTGGTGGTGGTTTTGGGGGGGGGCACCTTCTTCACAAGAAGGATCTCCAAAGAAAATGAGATGTCATAGTTCCCATATGCAACAGTCTTGATGGCTGTCCTGAAAGACCGACCATTGATCTGAGAGAGCAACCCCACTTTTCGGCATCCCTGCGAACTGTGTTATCTGTGTTATTGACGTATTTACCAGACATGTACATCTTTATATCTTTGCAGCTTCAACCACCTCCATTGTCTCTTGAACTGGCCCGCACCTCATGATTCTCATATGCAACACTGGAGATGGTGAACTTCAGGACTTTCAGCACCAGGAGCGCTTCACCATCCGAATGGATCAACCCCAAACCCCTCAGCGGGGTTTAACCACTCTCACCGGTCCGCATCGTTCGTTCGTCCGCACCAACCCACCTCTATTGAACGCACTGCCCGGGACGGCGCCTGAGTTCCCGGAGGTCGCTGTACTCCACAGACGAGTGCGGCGCTGCAGCGGGCGAGGGGGTGCAGGCCAGCACCCAGTCCTGGTGAGAGACCACGGTGGTGCGACCGAGAGAGGGAACCACGTGGTTCCAGCGATTCACTTGAATGATCTTGACATTGGTTGTTTGTGGGTATGAGTCTCGCTTGATTCACATGGACTTGCCAACTAATTGCATCCACAAATAATGACCCAAAGATCTACAGGTTCAAAAAGTGGGAATACTATTCGCTGAGTCACCAGCCTGCAGTCAATGGACTACCCCAAGGTATGTCAATATGCCATGCAGTGTTTGGGCAGCTGCCTTTGATCAAAGACATGTTTCGAACCAAAAGGTGCGCTGTTGAACATCGGATTCCTTGATGCCCAGAAGCTGTTTGGGTCACGGTGCCGGTGGGTCACCACAACCGGGACTCCTGGATCCTTTTGGTGCGACAAAGGCCGGCCGCAGTAGACACGGGTGACCTGTCTGGACATCTGAATACGACTACACTCGATGGTCGTCACCAACATGACCTCGGTCATGTCTACCCGAGCACCGTGAAAAAAATGCACAGAGTCCGCCCAACTCACCAGGATTTGGCAGCTCCCAAACGACCAAACCGACTGTTCCGGGCAATGTTTGATGTCGTTCGCGCATGGCGCGAAAGCCCGTCGTCCCAGTCATGGCGCCCAGTCGCATGGCCCGCCCTGTGGCATGCACCTACGAAGGAAGGGCCACCTATGATGTTCAACTCATCCGGAGATGGACCGGACCCAAGACCGTCTCTCTCCTCCAACTCCGGCTGCATGAACTCACTCACCTACAGGTTTGGCGGGAGGTCTCGGACGTGTGCGGCGAAAGGATCGATTCCAAGCGTCTGGGCTTAGAAAGGACCTTGTTGGGGGGCGTCCTTTCTACAAGGGCCACTGCGTTTACACAGGTTACAGCAGTTTGGATGCAAATCCGAAGGTTAACAATTGGATTTCCACAGAAATCCCAAACCGATCCAAAACATTCCAAACCCCCGATTCACATACCCTCCCTTTGCATGACCCACCTGCGGCTCGTCGCTGCTTTCCATCATCGTCTTCTCTAGAAGATACACTGACACCCTCACAGACAAACACAAAATCACAAAGCCAAGAGATGAGCCGGAAGATTCTCCTTACCAAAGGGCCCCTCTCTTACCTCAATGTAGAAAAGCATTGTGCCTCTCCTGATTAAGGGGCCCTACTACCGCCCTAAGAGGGGCCCTCGCCCGAGTTCACAGCTCTTCAAACCCGCGACCGCCACCGCTGTCTGGTCCGCTGACGGGCACGCCTCATGGATGGTGACGTGGTAGCCGTCGGCCACCTGCGCCAAGAAGAGAGGCGCCCCAGGGAGCAGCACCTGGGGTCGAGAGACGTCGAATCACAGTTGCTCACCCTTTTCCTAATCCATGTCGTTTCAGAGGGTTGGGGGGTCACAATGTGCCAAGAAATGGATGGCGGAAGCTTTGAGTATGTGATAAGACCAAGAACAATCCCCAACAGCTCCCACCAATTTGTTGACTAAGTAATGGCAGCAAATACGTCAGTGTGTTTGTTAGACACTGCTGCTTTCAAAAGTGTGAACCTTTTCACTGCGCCATGCGAGCATTTTAACATGGCAATACGTGAATGCCTCTACATATGTGCCCAAACATGTGCAAGCATAACAACACCGCAACAAACAAAACCCTTCGAACGTTCGGAAACTCCCCTGGAACCGGCTTTAGAAACCCAGCGCGTGTCAGCATGACACGTTGGCATGATAGTGTGACCCATGCCAGTATGGCAATACGTCAGCATTACAGCCCGACAACTTGCCCGCGTGACACCGTGCCAGCATATCAGCATAACAATTGCAATCACAACAACATGTCTAAATACTAATATGTACACGTCTGCGTGACAGCATTCTACATACACGGCACATCAACAGGACACCAGCTTATCGGCCTGGCAAATACAAAACTGGTTGGTGCTTTCAACCCAAAAGGTTGAAAGTTATAGGGCGTTAGCAAGGATCAGCAAGAACCGGAGGTACAGTAGCCTGGCGGCGTGTAAACATGTCCGACAACACGACAACATGTTGCTGCAACAACGGCGGTGTCAGCACGTTACGCCATCATAGATGTGGCAAACTGCTCCCAAATTCCGGAACCTTCTCTCCAAGTACCCTCCTTTTGATATCCCAGCTTGAGAAAAAAGCTGGTCTTGCGTTAAAAGTCAGCATGACAGCCCGACTGGTCTATCCGATGATCCCGAAGTCTGTACCGTCAGGCTGGTGGAAAAATAAGCTGCGTCGCACAAAAGGCGATGATCCGTCTCTGAAGAAGCTCCGTCTCGAAGCTCGATCCCTCAAACCCGAACGTCCTTCGCGGATCCAACATAACCTGTTAGGGAATCCGTCCCTTCGGACAATCCGTTACGTCCCACGCAAGCTCCGAGCGGTTCTTCCGTATCCTCCGAGCTCGGCACGTTGTCCGCCAGGACCCGTGCGCCCCGGTGCAGCGCGGGCTCGGCCGAGCGGAGGTCCTCCTGCGACGCACCCACCCACGCCGGCACCCGAAGAGATGGAGATGGAAACACATGGAGAGCAATTGGTATACTGGGGAGGTTTTATCAACCAAGAACTAAGAGGTCGTTTTTATGGTGCTGTAGTTGTTTGTTCTTTTTTCGGGGCTGGCGGGTGTTTGCACTTGTCCCGAGCGGGTTGAAGGTCGCCCCTCACCGCGCAGGTCCGTGCCTGGTAGACGGTGCCGCGGTGATCCAGAAGGAGCACATCCATCTGCCCCAGCTGGCCACTGGCCAACCAATCCCAGGCAGAGCCCACCCGGAGCTGCACCTCCCCTGCAAAGCTGCGCGAGTTCCGCAGGAGAAGGAAAAGGTGAATTAGTTTGTGCGCCGGGAAAATACAATAAAACCTCCGGTAGGAACAGAATTGTTGACGAAGGTACGGATGTTTTTTGCGCTTCAACTTCATCTGTCCTTTTCCCAGCAGCACCCCCCTGTTGGACGCAGCTGCTTCGCTGCTTCCCCACCTTGGACGTTGGCCCAATGCACCAACTCATTGGCGAAGGGCCAGGTGAGCGCGTTCACGTCGCACGACTGGATGCGCCCACCACCGCCTGGCCGTCCAACAGCCGTGGGCTCGGCAGGTTTTTTGCGGCAGGGATGCCAGGAGGGGGCCATGCCATCGCCAGGCCCATGATGATTTCAGGGAGTGCGTCACGCCATGCCCTAGTAAACAAAGCACGAGTGAGGGTCACATCGACCACAACAGCGAGTGGACCCAGCATGGTGAATTTAAGCCATAGTCTAGTTGTTTCACGAATTGTCCGTGCTTTGGGGAACTTCTTTGTACCT